GATTCTGCTCTCACTCTCTCTGTCTAGAAATGCTCTCATATGGCCACGTCTATACAACCACTGCCAGGAAAGTCCTACTTACTGCCTTTTAGTGGAGGGAGTGTTGTTCACGAAATTGAGAGGACGAAAAGCAAATGTCCGACACTTTAACCGAGTTGGTGGATATGAAAGATCCACCTTGGGAAGTTGAAAAATCCTGGTATATGAACCAAATGTTGGTCACCGGTTACCATGGAATAGAATCTTTTTACGTTGCTCCACCGAATTGTGGATTAGACCTCTAGGTTAAAGACTTGGATGTTGGCCCCCTAAGAAAACCAACTGTTTCAGTCTTGGTTCTCGAACAGTGTACCAGCCCTTACACAAATCAAATAATTTGTGAAGTGCATATATAATTGGTTCCTCCTTGTACCAGTGTCTATGTGGTTAAGTAAAATAAATAAATATCAAACGGAAATTGATAGTTTATACCAATATACCTTTACAAAATGAAAATGTTTTTCTAAGAGTCCGAAATGTCATAATTTTAGTTATTTAATTGTGATTCGATAGTGAGTTCTTTAACCAGCTCCCAAGCAGTGAAGCGAAAAAGCACCTATAAACAATCATATACCTACTGTGAAATCGATTGAAGCATCCCTGTTATAAATTTTAAACTATACAACCCATGGAATATTAAATGTTTCAGTAATGCAGTTTACAATTACAAAGAACATTGATCTATACATAAAATTAGTTAATATGTTAACTGCGATTAACTAAATCAGGCCTTCGAATAGAATAACTGTTATATTTGCGTCGCTTATCACTTATACCTGAAAAACAAACATACAAGGAACCACTACAATATTCTCACGACGCAAATTAAGAACACTAAGACTGGTACAAATGAAGATTCATTAACCATAAAACTCTACGATTATCCTAGTCGAAAATAGACTCATTTATGCATTGATTGTACATTCACTTTTATTATTAATTAGAATACAAGTATATATATGTAAAATACTTTGAGTTATAACAAATCACATGCTACATGTCACGCTAAGCATGTTTAATGTTAATTAAATACAAGAATATCGTACCTTCAATAAACATCACACTCAACTAAATTAATGTCATAACGAATAAAGTATCACACTGGAAAATAAAACAAATATTATACTGAGAAATCATCACATTGAATTAGACAAACGGAAGTAATGTTGAACAAACATTATAATGAGTAAAAGAATGTAAATTTTGCCTTTTCATTCCGTCTCACTGATAACAAACACAATTTAAATATGTTGACTGAGGTGTAGTATTTGTAAAGTTTAAGGTTTCGTACCTTGTGAAATAACTAATTAATGTTTCATACACATCAGTGAGTACGATATAACCTGTTGAGTAAATTATCCATCTTACATTTCTTCGTTAGTCATTACATTGATGTATCTTTTGAATGTAAAATATTTTTTTGAAAAAATGATGATAATTAACTGGCAAAAATAGTGAAATTTAACTGAGTAAAGTTGATTTTCGGTGGAAAAAATAATTTTAAAAATTATTTTAATCAAGTGACCTAAGGTCCTGGGATAGAGCTCCGAGGGCGGGATCGTCAATGCGCACTGCGAAACAGTCCCATACTCGGACGAAACGGCTGACCAGTGCCTCTAGGTTTTTAATGATTGTCTAACACCAATCGATTCATGAACTCGATTAAAAAAATAAATATTTTGTTCGGCGTTTCGTTACATAAAAAATATTTTCATTCAAATCAGTTGATAATCATTAAAAAAGCAAATAGTCACTTTGACTTGACAAATAGATTTGTGGTTATATCGAATGTCTGATGAATTTGTGTATTTGGTTATAATTATCGTATTCAATATTTTTGTGAATGCTAACTTAGTGTATTATTTGTGCAGCATTGCATGATCTAATGAATAGAAAAATAATCAAGAAATTTTGTCTACCAGCAAAAATTTTTTTAAATTTCTTATTTTTATATTGAAAGTCCGAGAGAATTTCAGTTCTTGAGTCACAAAAATGTTTGCCAGACAACGTATAGTAATGTGTTACAATGTCGCAGATAGATATTTGCAAGAGAAATCGAATTTTAAAAAAAATGAACGAAATCGGTTGAGCTGTTCAAAAGTTATGGTCGAAAGTGTGTTCACGAGATTCGCGGTCTCGAAGATTTTCATAGGATTTTGCCGCATGAACGTTCTATAAGAATTTTTCGAGTCACAGTTTCCTTCATAAATTTTGAACGGGTTAATATTTTTCAATAAGGTTTCCTTTGTGTTACTTATCTAATTGAATACTATTTAATGATAAATATGTACACATACATTAAGATTTGTGCTTGACGATTTACACCTGCTCTTACTCGCCATGTTATATAGGGATACTACACCTAACTCAGGGTCTGAAAAGTCGGAGAAAAGAAAATCTCGCAAATGCGATGAAAATGATCTTGGTGGTCTTTTAATAGTATTCCGACAGCAGACAATGGGTTTTAGGTGTCCTTTAAGCCCTAACGCTTCAGGCTCGGCTATTTCATTTACTACCCTACATATGCGTACTATTCAGTATAAGCTATATTGCTATGTAGAGCTGAAGGTGTCATATGAGACTGGAGGTTCGCCATTGATATTTTGGATGATTCGGTATTACTTTGGCAAGTTTCGCCCGCTGGTTAACTGATTTCATTCATAATGACGGTTGCTTTTCAGTGTTCTCAAAGGCCATTGCCATTGGGACATTGTAAGGCATATAGCTATTGCAAACATTAATGAGTTCGATTGTCGTGTAAGCGGAATAGGTCAACTTTGGCCTGTTCGTGTTGTGCACAATTGATTCACGCGATCATTGGTCGGAATAATTATACATGTGACGTGAATGTGTATATGAATGTTGCGAATGGTCCACCAGGGTGTTTGGTACCTGTGTGGTTGCGCCACAGGATTGAGCAATACTGTTCTAGTTATAAAGTTTAAGTCTTGATGGTGTCTGGTTCTCCTGAAAACCAAAGTAAAATTACTCTGGTCCACAAGGGTACATTATATAATTGTGAATAAACTGATTGATCCTGCCAGTAGTCATATGCTTGTCTTAGAGATTAAGCCATGCATACCAAAGTACATGCCTTAAAACAGTGAAACCGCGAATGGCTCATTAAATCAGCTATGGTCCCTAAGATCATAAATGCTACATGGATAACTGTAGTAATCCTAGAGCTAATACATGCCTTGAATCCCTGGCCCGCAAGAGGAAGGGTGCATTTATTAGAACAGAACCAATCAGGTAGGACTTCATCTGCGTCCGTTACATTCTGTGATGACTCTGGATAACTTTACTGATCGCAGTCGGCCTTATGTCGGCGACGGATCTTTTGAATGTCTTCCCTATCAATTTGTTGTTAAGTGGTTTGCCTACTATGATGATAACGGGTAATGGGTAATCAGGGTTCGATTTCGTAGAGGGAGCCTGAGAAATGGCTACCACATCCAAGGACGACAGCGGGTGCGAAAATTACCCACTGCCAGTACGGGGAGGTAGTGACGAAAAATACGGATACGGAACTCAATTGAGGCTCCATAAGTCGAATGAGTACAATTTAACTCCTTTAAAGAGTACCGACTGGAGCGCAAGTTTGGTGCTAGCAGCCGCGGTAACTTTAGCCCCAAAAGCGTATATTAAAGTTGCTGCAGTTAAAAAGCTCGTAGTTGAATCTGGGTCGTGAGGTCGCATGCCGCTGCTTGTTCGCGGTTTTGGTTACGATCAGAAAGTGTTCAACTCGATGTTGTGGCAGTGAAACCTTTTTACCGTATCTGTGTTAAACGGGTGCTGGTGAGTTGACGATAGTCAGAGTTTCGAAGACTATCAAATACCGTCGTAGTTCTGGCCATAAACGATGCCAACTGACGGTTCTATAATTGACATCGCGGGCAGTCTCCGGGAAACCTTTAAGTCTTTTGGCTCCGAGAAGAGCATGGTTGCAAAGCTGAAACTTAAAGGAATTGACGGGAGGGCGCCACCAGGAGTAGAGCCTGTGGTTCAGTTCAACTCAACACAGGAAAAATCACCTCGCCTGGACACTGTGAGGATTGGCAGATTGACAGCTCTTTCCTGATTCGGTTGGTGGTGGTGCATAGCCGTTCTTAGTTGGTGGTGCAATTTGTCTGGTTGATTCCGATAACGAACGAGGCTTTAACCTGTTAAATAGTAGACTGGTCTTCTGTACTCGTTTAGGGCGCGGCTTCTTTTGCTTCTTTATGGAGTAGTGTGGTCGTGATCCGGCGGGTTCAGTGCCAGTTTTTACTTCCTAAAGGGACAAGCGGCACACTTAAGTCGCAGAAAATTGAGCAATAACAGATCTGTGATGCTCTTAGATGTCTGGGGCCACACATGCGCTACAATGACGGTGCCAGTGAATCCGGAAACCTGGTCCTAAAGGGTTGGGCGAACTGCTTCACCACTGTCATGACTAAAGCATAGCGAATTTTCGGATTTTCATATGAAGAAAAACCATAGAAATAGATAGATATACAGATAATACTAATTTATTTCACATTACTTCATAACTATGCAAAATGCAGTGAATTAGATTGGTTTCGGCCATTGAAAATCGATTATGTATTTTGTTGTATTTTTAAAGAAAGTTTTTAACAAACTTCCAAACAAATGTATAAAAGCACTGTAATTGTTAGTAAATAGTTCTTTTTAGCTCTAATTAACAACAGATATAACGTTGCTGTCACTTTTGTTTTGTAAGCTTGAATTTATACATCCAGAATCACATTACAACGGCTACAAAGATGGGGGACATTAACCGGTATAGCTTTTACAATGCGTAGATTGATTTAATCTGTTACATCAACACCAGATGTCACAAAACTATTCAAATACATTATTTTTTTTCAACTACCTGGTCCCTTGATTCATTATTTTCAGAAAATAAACTAATTAATTACTTCACAGTTTCATGTAAATTCAGCTTCATAAAGCAGATGTACATGAACGTTGTTTTCCAAACAGTTTAATGGATTTTCGATTCGGTGGTCAGACAAACTTCAGCTCGATAGTAATAAAAATTGCCAGTTGTTAATCATCACTGTAAGTCGAAATTTTTTAATTAGTATCGAGGCATGTTGATTAGATAATCACTCAAACTCTTTTACACATAAAAGTAATTTTCTAATCCCCAGTGTGTATATTTGCCTAAAAGTATGCCAAGATATAATGATGTTTTGTTTTTCTAGCCTGAATGATTGAATCTTGAAGTCATCATTAAAAGTTTTGGGCAGTATTAATCATAAATATGAAATATAAAAGTAACCCATTATATCACTGAGAAAAAATGCAGATCAGCAAAAATAGTTTCCTCGTTTCCACAATATCATTTCCTGAAGTCATACAGTCATATTTATAATGATTTAAAGAATATATGGGTCTATGGAATTTTAGAAAAATACTACATCTTAAAGTGTTTTGAGATTTCAAGTACCAAAAGACATTTGCATAATGATCTAGAAGTTAATGAACAATAGGAATATGAAAATAATTTACTGTTTAGAAATAGATTGAAGAAGTAATGAAAAACATAAACATAACGATAACAATTGCGTGATGATTGTATGTTATAAAAGGGTAATAATAACTCATTGAAATGTAAACGATAAAAAAACAGAATGTAAGGGGTGTTAAGGAAATGGATATGAGACTGCATACAAAGTTGAGTCTTGAGCTGCTTACATGTTTAAAATTCTTTAATAAACAATATTTTGATTGTGTTGGCTTTGAGACAACGTGTGTTAGTGTACAGATTATTTTGAAGAAAGATGCTGGTAGAATAACATGGTCAGAATTAATGAAATGCTCCTGTTTTGAGCTGTTGATTGTTTTGCATTCTCCTTTTAAATTTCACTTTAGGTAATGTTCCAAGATGCGTTTAGATAATGTTCGCTTTGTGTAGTCAATATAATATCCTTCACAAGAGCAAGTTAGCATATAAATGCATATTGATCTGGCCCAAACTGAAAGTACATCCATACACATTCATGAATGATAGATCGAATGAAGAAGTTGACACAAAATTTACCAGCATAAAATATTTTCCTCAGAGATTATGTTACTCGCTATGTTAGAATTTCTACTATAGTAGTATCGCCATCAAACTGAATACTTATCAAGAGAGTTTTCTTTTGAACCAGAATTGTTCTTTCACATTTTGGTTTTGTTTTCAAGTTAGTTTAAATGAACCTGTATGAATCATCATTTTGATCTATGTTTATCTGATCTGAGATAGTACATTATTTATTGTTTTTGTACAGCATATTCATCTGTCAAAGATAAAAAGTGCATTAGATTCCTCTCTCTGATAAGCGGAGACCTGCTTTGTAAATTTATGTATTGATTATTTCATGTTAATTTTCTTTTTATGAATCTTTAAAGTGAATCATCTAACCATTGTAATAGGACATGAAGGAAGTGAAACTCAGAGTTCACCTATGTTTATAATTCATACTGAATTGTACGATGATAATTGTTGAATTTATCCAGTGATAGGAGAATCGATAATTTTGCCCTAGATAATAAATGTATTATCTATTCATCTTTTTTGTATAAACACAAGATCTTGATGGTTGACTGAAGTATCATATTCTCCAGATTAACCATGAAACAATCATCCATAAAAGAATTCAGCGGTGAATCTATAGCTTCATCATCAGTTTATCTATAAAACTAATTATTAAATCTAAACATGACATAGAATCTTATATCGAAGAAGTAATCTCAATTATAAATGATTGTGTTTATACAGTAAAGACTAATGAAGAAAATGAATACCATGTAAGAACTCTTACAGAATATTCTATGCAAAGACAAAATCTACAACAGTACTATAACATAAGTTTTTGAAAATGAAATCCACTTAAATTTTTTTTATTTTTATTTTTAAATGTTTTTCATATTGCTCAATATTTTTCAGTAATTCGATTGTTCCTATGTTTATATATAATATAAATTAAATAGTAATACATAACAATACATAATGATAGGATCCTTTAGTAAAAGTTTAGTCAATTATCTTTTGGATTTATAATCCTTTGAACTGTATCATTAAAAAGAAATATGAATCATCTTCAATTCATCTTGATATAACATCAAATGTATTTGAAGAAGCTTCAAAATCTCAGATGTATTTTGATTATGTAATAAAATGTAATTTGTAATTTTTCTATGTTTATTTTTATCGTTCATATCAAATTGTTAACCTATTTTTATTCACGTGATGATATCATATATCATATTATATGGAATATATATCTTTGATTAGATTTAGTCTGTCTACTATGCATATATCTATGACTGAATACTGAGCAATTAATTATTTCTTTTTTATTTATGCTGTAAAAGACGTACATTTGCTCATGTAATGATAATAATCATATTATGATATCAATTGTTCTCATGTGTAAAGATTGAATGATTAATATACATAACCGAAGATAAATGGGAATGTTTTAGTGCAATTCTAGCATAGTTAATTTATTTCATTATATTGAATGCTTCATTCACTATTTAACTGAGACTAACCTCAATAGGAGATAATATAAATTTTGTTGAATCATCTATTGGAGCTTTAGTTACATTGATATGATATACATGTGATATAGGATTGTTATGTATCATACATTCATTTTCAGTTATCAGTGAATTAATTGGAAAATTAACGGATTCATTAACAAAAATTAAAGAAGTTGGTTTAACATTATATACAGATGGATATATTTGATTGTCTAATAATTTAAGGGTATTATTTGAAGTTGAAACAGATTGATCTGTATACACTTCCAAATAATTGGGGACTATATTATAATGAATGTCATTTAATTTTAATAAACAATCAGTTGGACTAGGATTATTATCTACAAATTTATGGGAAAAATATTGTCTGTCAAGTGTTGTTTCTCTTGAATGTGAAAAGGGAGTATTTAAATATTTAGTATAGTGACATTTATATGCTAGGAATGTGAGAAAGATAAATAAAACAAGGCCAGTACAAGCTAAACCAGTTAACAACCATATATTAATATGGTTATTAACACCCTTTAAATTCCATTTATTACGATGCATTTGATATTGGTTCATATTATCTGTATGTTTATTATTATTATTTGATGATTCATTCGAAATAATAATGGTGTAATTTTTAAAATTGGACGATGGAAATCCCAAAATGGAATTAGTAATTTGTGAAGATTGTGATGTTCTTTTTAGGACATCTTTAATTACATCTTTGTTGTAGTCATCTTGATTGATGTATGTTGTTGCACTGTCAGCAGGAATGTTTGATGTACTTTGAATATTAATATTTTTCGATTCAAATGATATTAACCTAGAAAAAGTAAAAGAGATAATAACAGGTAAAATCAAAACATGAAATCAAGGGAATAGAAGATTACTGAATGATTTTTAAATGATTCTTTCACCTGTAATAATCGAGTGTGTACTGAAGATATTGGAAATTTCGGAGCTATTTCACCGATTGTCATTGTTTGGGTTTTTATTGTATGATTATTACATAACTGAATTAATATGATTCTATATTTTTCCTTCTTATAAGATTCTATTCGTTCTGCCAACTGTTTCTATACATTTCACTTTCCGTGAACCATTGTTAATTGTTTATTCACAAATTGACCTGTTCACTACCGCTTTTTCTGGTTAATGTGTAAACTATGATGCTTCCAGCTACGCCTATATGTAAATACATGTGTGATTGATGTATAATTATGGAAGCTTTCTGGGGGCATTCTTTTATTCAAAAGAAAGGAGGAGCTGTTGATATTAACGAATCAACAACAGTCAAGGTTACTCGTCATTGTTCAAGGTTAATCTTTCTAACCTAAAAGTGTCATTGGTTAAGTTGAGTAACTAGTCTATGGACAGACAAGTGTACTTAGATTTGAGATTTTTTTCCTGAGATATTGACTAAGGAAGTGAAAACTAGCAAACGTTATAACACCAACCGTGAAACTTCTTTCAGAAAATCCATTGGCAGAATGATTTATAAAATTAAATGTTTACTAATTTTAATCTACTCAAATTATATGATTACTTTAGTAGTCATCATTTTCTTTTTACCATCACCCATTATTTATTGAAAGCACGATTTAGATTGAACATGGTAAACTATGTAAATGTAATCTGAATTACCAGATAATGTCATGATATGAAGCACTGATGTATAAAATGTTGCTATAAATTAGGGAATCTATTTATTACAGCATTCCACCTTTCAGACAAGAACTGCAAAGTGGATTAATGTAATTCATTTCAAAATATCAATAAACAGTCCAATTCCATGTTACTGAAATTCCCAGAGGTCATAACAATTTGAGGGCATAAACTTGACCTTTGTGTTCAAAAAGAGTCAGTAAGTAATTCTCAACTGACCTGATAACGTTGTGATTCATTATTCCTCCAGTTACATGTAAATACAATCTTCTGAACTGAACTCATATGCCCTCTCTTCTTTTCTAAACTTCCTGAAACATTGTGTTAAATATATATTGCGTAATAACCTGTTCACAATATTCCAGAACTATCAACTCAAGCACATTTTGAATATTAATTCTTAATTTCTTTCACATTATACTTCATTTATTTTAGTGGTGATGAACAATCCACTTTTAAATATTCTGTTGTAAATAATTCAACGTATTAACATGTATGGTGTAGTTGGAGAAGAAACAACAAAATACAATAAATTCATTATACAGTTGGTTGCCTTTAGGAATTTAAATAAAGCCAGAATAAACATGGATTCAGAATAACATACATTCATTATATTTCGTGGTTTCTCATCAGCTGTTCATAACCAAAAATGTATTAAAATTTAACATTGAGGTAAGATATAATGTGAAACAATTGACATAGATGAATGTTCAGGAGCAGGTCGGAGGTTATTTGGTGTTAGAATAAAGAATCATAAGGAGTGGGTGATGTAATAATTGAGTGGAGTTCAGAGACAACTAGGATAAATTGTGTGATAATTTTAGAGGTGATGAAGGGTTTACACATGATTCTTGGAATTAAAAACTGATAAGATGGGTCGCGTACTAATTGAACAGGATCTGAAAAGTTTACATAAGCTGAGAGAATTGAGTGGAAATGTATGAGTGAGGAGGTCGTTTCAATGTACAGAAAATAATAATTCGGTAAGGAAAGATCACATAACAAAATGAACACTAACAAAATTGGGATAATGACCAAAAATGATTTGCCGGTGTAGTAATAGGTTTATTACTGTCTCTTTTTGGATACATAAGTCATGCTTCAGTTTTTTTATCGCAATTGCTTCGGCAAACCGAAGAGACGCTGTATTTCTTTGTCTACTAATAATTTTGAAGGCTTGAGGAATGTCAATAGTGTGCCTGGTGTTGGATAAATTCCGAACTATTGTATTGTTAGGAGCCGTTGTGCTTCTCAGTCTCAAGTTCTTCGGAAAACGTTCAATGTTAAATTTCAATGCATATATGGTTGTGAGCAGTTGATGGGAAACCACGAAATATAATGAATTCATATAATTCTGCATCCATGTTTGTTCTGGCTTTATTTGAATTCATAGTATTCCACAAATATTGTCGTTCTTATTTTGCTTAAAATAGTCTAATTACTGATAATATTTATTAGCGACATGTGAAACATGATCACCAAGAATGAAAGGTTAAAACAGATAAAATGATAAAGTTGTTGAGGGTTGCTCGGATATTAAAAAAAGTAATTTAATAGTTGAATTCATGAATCAATTAAAGCTAGACCACCACGGAAAGCCTGGAAGCACTGGATGGCCGTTTCGTCTCAGTATGGGACACCTCAGCAGTGCGGATCTACAATCCCGCTCACGGTATTCGAACTCTGAAGTCTAGACATGACCTCAGCATTAAAAACGACACGGTATAATGTGTTCCTTAAAATATGGTTCATTCTTGTTATTCATTAGAATCGTTTCTAGTACCCGTTAAGCATCATTTGAGTAGTAACCTTCGCAGTATAAAACTGTTTCAAAAATTTTCATGTATAATCCAGGAAAATAAAATTAAAATATCTAATATATGAGCAATTACATAATAAATTTGGCTTTTTTTAACCTACTCATCAACTGAACGTGATGTGGGTAAAAGTGGTTGAAATGTAGGCACATATTCAACTTTTCCAAATCTTGCCACTTGAATAAATGGTAGATATGACAGACCCGCAGCTAGGTCATTCAACAATAAACCATTGTAGTACACACCTTAAGGTGAATAACAAACAGAGACTATGAAATTAAACATAAAAATGTACACTATATAAAATGACTCATACAAGCATAGAAATAGCTACAGTTGAAGGTGAAAGATTATTCTATTACTTCCTAAAGACTATCAGATACGATGTCAAGTGGTCTGCCGGAATGAACAGATCACTCAATTATCTTCAATGTTTTAAGTTTAACTTCATTAGTAAGATAATTACATTAACAGAAAATTGCTAAAAGAAAATCCATGAATACAAGATTTTATATTATCTAGCTTTAATGGCTGTCCTTAGAATAATACAATTAAAACTAACTAGTATGTTAGAGGACCTGGCTTATCGAAATTGGACGAATTCAGCATGTTTCTTACTGTAAAATGATTACAGTAATTAAACATATCCTTATGAACATTCATATTCTTTTTTATTTATGTTACCCTACCATAATCCGCCGATAAGTTAAATAATTTCCTTGCAAATATTCATAATGTTTCTCTATATAGAAGTTTAAAAATAAGATTTATACCAGTTGAATTATTTCTTTACAATAAAAACTAAGGTATCGGGGTTTCCAACTGGCCAACAGTACATTCTATTTATGGACGACTGAGGATTCTTCTCATACAACTCAACAAGTAGGAACTCCTATAGACTGGCTATCCATCACACAACATTTTAACATTAATAAACCACATTAATAAGTAACTTCAACGATAAAAGAATTAAGAATACCGCAAAGGAATAATTTTTGTTTTTATGGTATACATAAGCGATGAATAAATACATAAAAACACATACAAATGATCTGGATAAAAAGAGTTTATTTAAAGATTAAACAAATGCCATAATATATAACATATATGATACCATATTCATTCAACAAAATGGTTATAGGCGGCACAATATTCCACCACAGACGCATACATAAAGCTATATGGATTTCACAGGATTACACTAAAGCAAACCCGATCGATTATATTTTATCACCGAAAAATTCAGATCAATGGGAGACATGAGAACCAAGAGAGGAGCTGACATAGCTTCAAATCAATTCAAAAAAAGCACATCAATATACAGGTTTAATACAGCCTTTTTTCGAAATACTGACAAACTCAACGGATTCAAAATAACTCTCAACAACAGATTCCAAGACTTTGAAAATCTACTCAACGAAGAGGAAACTACTATGGAGACTAACCGGAATCGGATTAAATAAGCAGCAACTTCAACGCGCCAAACAAGAGCAGAGAAAGTAAAGGCATTAACTAAATATACAGAAGCAAAAAACAAGTGAAAAGGGCATTAAAGTCGACAAGCAGAAATACATTGAAGGCCTAACAGTGATAGTGAAAAAGCTGCAAAAGAAGGAAATATGAAACAACTACATGACAACGAAGAAACTAGCAGGGAAATATAGTAAACCAGAGAGATCAGTCAAGGACAAAGAAGGCAAGCCAATCACTGAGATTCAAGAACAGAGGAACAAGTGGGTAGAACACCCTGGGGAACTGCAGAGATACTCCATGTTATATTCAGGAAGATTTGGGAGTAGGAATAAGTTCCGACAAACTGGAAAGGAGGACGCTTCATCAAGTAACCAAAAAAAGAAAATTTTAGTAAGCGTTAGAACTACAGAGACATCACACCATTGGTACCAGGCAGAGTTCTCAACAGTATTTTTTGACTGAATGGAAGATTCAGTAGACTCCCAACCTCGAGTTCAACGGGCTTGATTCGTAAGGACTGATCACGTATCAGCTAAATCGTGGCACCGCGGATAATTTTTAAACAGTCAATTAAATTAAACTCATCGCTATACATTTATTATGAGAAGGTATTCGACAGCGTGGACAGAAGAAACTTATGGAATCGTCTTCGTCACTATGATGTACCCCGGAAGATTATGACTATCATACAGAATTCTGACGATGGACTTCACTTTAAAGTCGTACATGGAGACAGCTCACAGATGCATTCCAGTTGAAGACCATAATTAAGCAAGGCTGCTTCCTCTCATTTGTCGTTTGGTTTTGGTAGCCTTTAATACAACTAGTGTGAAAGCTCTTTTTCTGGAATAAAAAGCTGTGAGATTTTCAATTTCATTGCAAACGTTTTTACGTCTTGCATGATTTCGAGCGTGAACAATTTCGTTAAGTTGCACATAGTAATGTAGATTACTGAAAATAAAGAAGATCGGATACAACTGATTTGTTCAATCATCAAAACCATATACCTTCAAAAGACAAAAATGTTTATACAGTTTCATACTCACTGACTAGTTAATCAGTGTTTACCCTAGATAGCTGCCGATAGTTTAAACATCACAACTGCTTCAACAGTCGAGAATATGTTGATTATTAAATTCATCGAGAATCGACCACTTAAGCATTCTTTAAATTATTAAATGTTGATATAAATGTCAAATGTATGTGGTTATTCCATCTTTCAGTTTTTATTAGTAGTACAGATTGGAAAAAGATAAAATCATTTAAACCATACTAGTATTGACAAGTTTCACACTTATAGCACTGTTATATAACTCTACCACTTGCTTGGTTTCATACTGTTATTGGTAAACTTATGTATAACGGTGAAAAGCCACAATAAAAAAAACTGTCGATATATATTATACCATCATGTTAAATGAATAAGTCTAATGTTTGAGGTTGATTTATCCAAAATGAAATCATTCAAAGATGGAATATCATTCATCAAACTACTTATTTAAATTATGATCTTTTAAACTTAGACCACCACTGTGAAATAATGAATATTCCAACAAACGATCATCTATTTAGATTGTGATAAAACAACACAGATGTGTGATCGAGGATCTCCGGTGAATTTTATATCATCAGTTTGATGTTTAATTTAATGCTGTTTTCTTTAATGTCTAGACATCATTAGAAGTGATGACTGTACTGTTAATTCAATGTATTTAAATTTATTTATTAACCAAACATAGAATGATCAACATTTTATGAATATTTTGGATATCATTTTAATCAATGTTTGTTTGTTGATAAACAAATATTTGTCTAACAGTCTAGCTTTATTCATTACATCAAACCATTTCAATACTGTTTCATTGAACAAGAAGTAGAAAAAATTTACTTTCCAGGCCATAACAACTAACAACCACATTTAGTATAGCAGTAATCAGCCAATTTTGACAGGATATAATAAAATTGATTCAGAAAAAAAAGCTAATCGTTCAAAAGCTTCATAATAATTTGAATTCACTTCGAATTGGTTGTTTGAATGTTCCCATTTATGTTTAAAACTGTAATGGATCACTTTATTATTAGTATATGTGCATTCCTTATGGATTGCTTCAATATTGCCTCATTTCACAAGCATTATAGACAGAGATAGATGGTAGCTGACAGTGGAAACCAAGACACGTGTTTCAATCTATTTGAGATTTGTCACCTGGCTGTATATGCATCACAGTGTTGATGTTCACTTTTGACCTCGAACCGAGTACAGTTCGCTTCAAACGCTATCTCGTTATCCATTTAACAACTTAGTCCAGATAGCCGTTAGCTTGTGCATTGGGGGGAAGTTTGAATGTTTCCATTAATGTTTAGGACTGTAATCCACCAGTCTATTATTTGCATACATGCCTTCTATGCGGATTGTCTCGATGCTACGTCAAATCACAAGCATTTGAATGATAATATTTTAATTTCTTCTTGTTTAACCATTGTTTATTGTGGAAAATTGACTAGATTAAACAATTTCTAAACGTATACTCTTAGTACAAAAAGGGAATCGAAGCCTACAATGATTGCTGTGTCTTGTCGAATTTATGATACGATACCCGAAGATTAGGTTTAATATTATTAAGTAATGGTAGGATTAGTGTTCAACAAGCTAACTTCGTTCAATTATATATGTTATTTCACCAGGTTTATTTAATGTTGTTATTTTTTTATAAATGCACGTTACATAAATGTATTCATCTGTTTAGTCATATCATTGCATTCATCTATCAAACTACATTTCATTCATTGAAATAGACAATCTAGACAATCTCATCATTCATTAAAAGCCTCATAAATATAAAGAACTACGGAAATAGGAAAAATAGATTTCGAAAGTGTTGATATGTGGAATCCATTACTACTTAATTAAAAATATATAATGTGATGACTAACATTCATTTTCGTAATTTCGCACTCATAACCTATTACTTACCAGTTATATATCCGTGAAATATATCAGTTTTATTTAGTGTTGGTGCGTGTCCAATCCAAATTACCTCTTGATTATTGAAACTTTTACCATAGGTCCCTACAAAGTCGATTGATTTAAAAAAGAACACATAATGGATGTATGACCACATAAACATCAGTAACAAATAAAAGGAGTTGAGTTAAAGCTTCAATAATCTATGAGACTATATGCTGATAATTATCATTTGCTCAGTAGTGACTAGCTTCCTGATGAATTTCCTGTAGTTCTAGTGAGAATCCATGGTCAGTGAAGTTCAACCATGTATTTCAGGCAGTTAATCCCTGATGACAATAGAGGAAGGACTTGAGGTTAAGCGATCGCGACGTTGTTAATACATTAGCTAAAATTCTACAGTATATCAGCTGTAAACTCCAATTAGTAAGCAACCGCTAATCGTCTGCAGGTCATCCACAGGAAGAACGAATTTCGTTTACAAAGATATCTTCAAGAGATAGTATTGGTTTATCTACTAGGTGATAGTGGTCATGGTGGTTTCGCACAACTATGTAAGTATAAACACGAATAACATTTGAGTACAGAATCCATATAAAAGATTATTTGTTTAGTTCGCATTAACCATTTGTGAGTGAAGTGTATGGGTGAATAACCTACAGTTTTGAAATATTATGAATTATGTCTAGCGTAAGTGAGTTATTTTTGCAAAACAAATACCCAGAGTTTCTATTCAACAAAATATATTGCTATCAATAACAGGGTGAACAATTATTCGATACTGATATTGATAATAGTCAATACTTTGAAATTCTTTGAAGCGTTCCAATTTCATGATAAACAATCGAAGGATTTTGATAACAAAGTTACTTGCCTAAAAATGTCAAATACGTATGTCAAGAGTTCAAATATCTCTCTCAACAAAGTCTTTAAAATCACAGAAACAGGCTGAAAATGTTTTATCTAGTCAACATCGAGTAGGAAGTTTTCAGAAATACTTAGAAAAATAAAAAATTGTGTCTCTTTTTGATTGGATAATTGCTTATGTTACTACTATGTTTAGAGTGGTCCCACATGTCTCTAGAAGAACAAGGTCGCTTGCAACCCTGTATATACACTCATTTTACTGCAAATAACTAACCTCAGGGTAAAGGCTTTACTCATATTTGATGCTTTTTCTCTATTCTACGATTTGAAGTGTTGTAGTAGTCTGTGAGTTGTAAGAAGCGGCCAGGAAGTCATTAACAATCCTACATGCAGTAGATTTATCAAAGTAAAAGATGAAGACAACTGGAACTTAGATCATATGATTGAAGGGTTTAAACTAAATCTTATACTATTCTCAAGATTTCCCATAGAACCCATTTAAAACTGACGCCAGAGTAACTTGTTAATTGAAACCTGGAATACGTATACAGTAAATCTATGTCATACCATGACCTTGATATTTCACTATTATTATTACCAATACTATGTTTGAGAGGATTTTGTGAAGATTAATTTTATTTCTGGTAGTTTACTGTCACGGATCGACATTGTTTAAAATGACATAGTCATTTTGTTTCGACACGAGACTCATTAACATTGACGTTAAGAAGTTCGATAGTAGGACAAACAGTTTTTCATAGCTTCCTGTTTTCAATGGTATACCTGATATTGTAAATCCTGAAAAACCACCACCTAATTTGCACAAAATAGCTGACAGTGATAGTACGTTATACTCACCAGTGACTTCGATTGAGTTGAGCTCTAGATATTCTAACAAGAGATTTTAACTGATGATGTTTAATCATCTTGAGAGTGTGACAGCTTTCTGTTCGACAAGTTGACTGGCATATATATATATATATATATATATATATATATATATATATATATAAGCTCTGTAACGCATACATTACTGACCTAATTAATCATACTGAATGAATTCAGTTATTTATTTTTCATTTAAAAAAAGAAGAATATAATCATAATCTTATTTATCTCAAATGAATTCACTTTTTGCTTACTGTTCACTTCATACATTTGTCTTAGGTTGTCCACTTCTAAAATAACACGATGATCCAATCGATAACCACGTATTCTGTGGTAAAATCCATCATTCACTGATAAATTAGGACCAATAATATGAATGATACCTCCACCCATATCATAATTAAGTTTTAATCTATCTGATTCCTAAAACACAATTAAAATATTATCCAGTGAAGTTTAATTTCGTTCAGGGTATCTTTTTTTAAAGAAAAACATGAAGCATGTTTAGTTGAATGATTCGTGGGAATTAGTTCTATTCAATATTGTCTAATGAACAAATGAAAAACATAGACTATGGGTTATTTCTATTATCCTTGTTCGTTATAATATATCAGTGGTACAACAATGCAACTCTACACTACGAAGCTATATATTATCGTGTTATAAACCAACAATGGTAATAATCTAAACGATTATAATGAATTCATTATGTATTATTTATTTGAATGTCCCCATTTATGTTTAAAACTGTAATGGATCACTCTATTATTAGTATATGTGCATTCCTTATGGATTGCTTCAATATTGCCTCATTTCACAAGCATTATAGACAGAGATAGATGGTAGCTGACAGTGGAAACCAAGACACGTGTTTCAATCTATTTGAGATTTGTCACCTGGCTGTATATGCATCACAGTGTTGATGTTCACTTTTGAACTCGAACCGAGTACAGTTCGCTTCAAACGCTATCTCGTTATCCATTTAACAACTTAGTCCAGATAGCCGTTAGCCTGTGCATTGGGATGAAGGTTAAACTCACTTTTTATGGAATGTTTTAATGTTCCCATTAATGTCTAGAACTGTATTTGACCAGTCTTTTATTGACATACGTGCATTCAAATTATTATTGTTTGATTCTTGGAATATGAAACCCACCTTATTATCAGTTACATCCTTATGTTTTTTGTGTTGAAATTTATATTAAATGAACTGCTCATTGTGTTGCTTTACGTTTAAATGCACGTAATAATGTGAAAATTGCTGTGAGCAGCTTTGTACTCAAGTATTTCTCAACATATTGCCAATTATGTCTGCAAAGTTTGTTAATAAAGATGATAGACAGTTTGATGAAATATTATATAAGTGTCTGTAATTTATTATAATTCTGTTTTGTTTATGCTTGAATTAACCTTTGAGCATAAAATAATTTAATTTATTATTTTAACATTTCAATAACGATAATTAAATATGTAAAGATCTTTTACAAATATTTAATCCATACAATTTACTAACTCGGAGAAGATATATAATTTATAAGGTTTATTGACTTATGATAGAACTTATGTCCAGTTACTATCTAAATACGTTAGTTCCATAGTGTAAAGTTTTATATTGGGCTATAATGCAAGACCTACTAACGATTGTTATACGATTTATTATTCTTTAATTATTGCTAATTCACTATTGACCGTTTTTTTGGTTCTCTGTCAATCATGATATGGTTGTATGTAAAGTACGATTTCATATTTGAAATTGTTTGCAAGGTGATAATTCATATTTATAAACTAAAAAGTGTTTGAGATTGAAAAATTTGGTGCCTGAAATACTACAATTAAACTTTGTCTACTATTATCCCTAATTCGAACCCAAGGTTTGGATTAGAAGATGATACTCCTGGCACTGGATACATTTGTACCACACAAGTCACTTGATTTGTGCGTGGGCTGTGATACTGCACAGGTGCCTAAACTGAAGCGGGTGGATTTCTTAGTGAGCCACACCTGGTGCTTCTGACCTAAAGGTCTGATTCACAAGGCAGTGGAGCGACGTTAAGAGATATAGTCCCATGGTAGCCGGTGACTAACAAATGGTTCATACGCGATTTGTTCTCTCATGATCCTGAAGCTCATGTACATCATTGGTTTAGAATCATGGTTTTACAACTCCCCTAAGTGAACCTTCCGTGTTCACCAACTCGGTTAGAGCACCGAACATTCTCTTTTCGTCCTCTCAATTTGGTAAAAATACACCCCTACGACAAGAAGGCAGTGAGTAAGACTTTCCTGGAAGTGGTTGTATTGATGATGGATAACAAAACCATATAACAATAGCATATAATAACAAGTTTTGAGAAATATATAGATGTTTATCAAATCATCAATGAAATAAAAATTCGATGATTTTACAAACAATTAATGACTTTTGAATTTAATTTAATTTTCTCGTCATTTTCAGTCATAGAAATTCAAACACCTCCATAAACATATGTGTTATAGTTATGTTACAGCATAACATTCAATAGACAACCCAAATTGAATACTCATCTTGGTATTCTGTTAAATTATTCAACATAATTAACATAAGAAGATACTAAGTATAACATAAAACAAAGTACTTACTAAAAATAAATGTATAAAGTCACCTGTTTGTTTTAGGTTTGTAATAAATAGTAAAGTTGCAATGGTGGAAATATAATGACTTGATTTACTGTTAACTTTCATTGGAAGCATTTGAATACCAAGTATAAATTCATCTTGTCTTGTATTTCTTAAATGATCTTTATACATAAAACGTAAATAACCTATAGTTTCACTGATAGTTGTCATAGTCCAATTATTAATAGTGACATTGATCATTTGATCTTGATTAGAACCATATAGGAAAGTTGTACCGGCTAATAAAATAATGTTATAGAAGTATATAAGTAACAATCAATAAACGTAATTATCTTACTGAAGATGAATATTTGTGATTATTATAGCAGATACTATAAACAAACAGGTTATTGCATCAGTGGATGGTTGAAAGAAATTTATAATGTCTTTGTTAAAAGATTTCTATTAACTTAGTTGTTCAATCAATATTTGTTATCCTTTTTATTATGGTATAACACATTCAAACACTTTCTCTATAGTATTACTGATTGTATCTATTCTTATCAGCAGTAATTAATAATTTTACAGCCTTTATTGACTTAGTTCGACATATTTATTTTATGTTCTACTTGGGCAACCATTTAAGATCAGGAAGCTGCTTTGTTCTGGTATAGGATTTCTCGACAGTGTACAATAACGATCACACCGATAAACAAACCCAATACATTCAAGTTTCGTCATGAGCACTTAAACGTAATGCCACTAGGCCTTCATTCAATGATTTACATTTTTGACTTACAATTGTCTAGCTAAGATCAGATGGCGATGTAAATCATGAAATTCAACAATCTGCGCAACAGTATACTTAAGAGAAAACAAATATATAACTCAGTGACGACTGATATATCATAGTTACACCAGTTGATTTATTGATTTTATAAATTATATATACACAAATTAGATTAATGATTGACCACTAGTAAGATTTATTCAAAATTTATTGATTGACCAAAACATTTAGAATGATATGTAATTTGTTATCAGTGTTATTGTGGAAGTCTTTGAATCAGTGTTTGGTAAATAAGTCAGTCTTCTTCGGGTTGGAGCAGGTGTCTTGTGCCATTTCAACAAGTAGTAGGTAGCGTTTACTCTTCAGTTATAGCGAACAGTCTTATATGTAGCAGTAGTCAGAGTCTAGTGCGATTCATAACATTCACAAATCATTTTGTTTCAAGTCATTACACCAGTTACTTTTACCGTGTGTTTTCTGACTGTGATATCTAAAACATTAGGGAATATTCTTTTGATTCTTTCGTATCGTATGAAAGTAAATGAATACACTGAGTAACAAAAGAATACAGTAAACAGCGCAACGCATTCAAAATCTTGTTCTACTAACTCCCCGTTTTATTTTTCAGGTGCTCTCGATCTAACACTAATGTAAGTGATAATTTTAATTAAGATCATGAACTGATCAATGTTAGACCACCAATAAAAACCTGGGAAAAGTTGACGACAGTTTTGTCCATTCTCGCGTGGATATTTTTTTAATGAAACATAGTAACCTTATTGAAGGATTTGCAAAATTCTTTATCGTTTTCGAATAATGACATTTCTAAACAGAATTCATGTATTTTGATTGCTTGGATCTTCTATTGACGTGATGAACTGCAATTGCTCAGTCTCTATACAAGAATATACACCCTATATGTTCTGGATTCAATAGCTAATTGGATAATGCGAAGTGCAGTTTGAATCAAATGGCACTGGTTTCGAGCCCAGGTGTGAACATCATCCGGCTGACGAGTTCAAAATAGAACAAAATGCCTGTCCTGGGTTCTACTGCTAGCCATGATTCAACTTTGCTTAAGTTCTGTGCATAACTACGTATATAATACTCATACATTAAAAACATAATTAAGTATTTATACAATTAAATTAAAAATATCTAAACATTATCTTACCTCTTGTACATCGATCTCCTTCGAATGATGTTAATTCACAGGCACATTTGTTCGTAGTCCAAGAGTGTAAACATAAACCATCATTCAAACAATATGGTTTCGACATTTGACTGTTTAATTTTTCTTTCTTTTCATTTCTATTTATAGTATGATGTTTAGGATATCTTTGAATTTCATTGCAATTTAGAACGTAATTTGGACGTTCAAAACAACCGGGAATAATTTGATCATAGCACACTGGAACAGTCCAGTTTAAATTATACTTTTGCTTAGCTTTATTTAACAAATTGTAAGCAGGTAAACCATTAATAGAGAAGTTACCGAAACATCCCTAGGATTTCAAAAAAAGACAACAAAGAAAACAAATAAATAACAGACTAGAAATCTCGATTGTTCTAACCATGTTTAAAGTAAATTTGTTTGTTTGGAAATACGCTTCTTCTGATGGATCCCTTTAAAGTGCAGTGAACACAAAGTGAAATCTTATCCCTTTTATGTTACCGAATACGTAGGATCTGTAATTCCGAATTCGTTGGAAGAGAATTTAATTTTTCAAGAAACCAGTTGACTGAAAACACTTATCCAAGCATTATAAGCAAAGATGAACAGTGCCTAGCAATGGAATCCAGGACGCTCCTTTCGTTTTGTTTTAAAGTCATCAGCTGGAAGTACAAGCATCTTATAGTTACTTACAAGGCTTGTGAATTAAAGCAATATCAAGGTAATACGCACAGTATGTACATATACCAATAAAACACTGATCAATTGCAGTCCTAAACAAAAATTGGAAGAGTCAAGTAAACAGTACCAAGTGAATTTAGTTATCCAAGCAGTTACGTGAAACAGGAAATGGAAAAGTCTGAGCAAGAAATTAAGAGGCTCCATTTTCTAAAGATCAACTTGGTGTGCATTTGAGATTTAAAGATTGTCAAACCCCTCATATACTTAAAACTCGGATGTCGATAGCTGTTTAGGGAACATTCAATGATGCAAACTCAGACTAAAATTCATGATTATAAACTGATTTTCTGTGTTCGAAAGGAATATGGTCCCTTGGCTGTCCACTCATCAGTTCACATGCTTTTTGGAAGCAAGATACATAAGGTGAACATGTCCAAGTGTTTTCTCCACGAGGATGAAAGGAAAATTTCATATTTCTAATGAATATAAAATCACTTTAACGTTACGGTCGAAGATGGGCTTATTTGCATAGTACCACACTAGGACGAAAGGCTGTTCAGTGCTTCCTAGTTCTCAGTGATGATCCGAGTAACACCAGTTACTCATCCATTATATACAAATTTAACATTCTCGTTAAAACCACCTACACTGAGAATTACCATGTGATCACTAGTCATTCAATTCTCAACAAAATTCTTACAGTTCATTCGAGTGAGAAGTCGTGAGAAGTTGAGTTCAATCACATTGTGTGTGTGTGGTGGTCAGCCATGAAAGACAATATGGGATGGTCACACATTATGACAAGATGAGAGGAATTAGAAATGTATAGCATTTGATTTCGGTCTATTTGTTAATTCCATAAACGTCGTCTCATGAGATTGAGGGTCCTGTATGTTAGTCCGTTGTGGTAAGTTAGCTCATGCAAACTACTGTGGAGTCTGATAATAGTATGAAGACAAACATCTTTAACTTCCTGGTTTTTCAATGATGATCTAGCCAATTTCGTTTCGTAATTTATACCATGGAAGTTCTACAGCTTTCGCAAAATCTGTATACGAATATATGTTTATTAACTATCAATAAGAGTGATTAAGCAAAAATATATGAAATCACTTTATGCTCATGATAAATTGTTATGTACCTACAATATGGGTAAATAATTTGCTGATCATTCATTGAGAAAATTTCAATGATCTATTTAGAAAGCGAATGTTATCTAAGTTCAGCAAACCATTTTATTTGAACGATATTCCCAAAAGCCAGAGTCTTTAGCTGCCACCTCGATAGCCGTTATTTCTACTAAAAATCTGATAACTAGTTGTTTTGTCCATTCATTATCCAAATGTCATCTCAAGACCACTCTTCAATGATATTTTAAGCTCAATCTGTTATGTAATTGAAAATTACGATAATTACCATTAGGACTTGAAAATTTTTTTTATCTAGTTATATATAATTGTACATGCTTTATGCATGATCTGATTGCTCTCAGAAAAAAAAATTATAAAAAGCTGATTACCTGAAATCCATGATATGAATTTAATTTCTCTCTCCATTTTAAGAAAGTGTACTGAGAAGTACCTCCAATAAAAAGTGGATCATTCAAATTGAAATTTCTTGAAATATCACCATTAATAACCGGTATCATTATAGATTGTTCATCGAATTTGTATCGATCAATGTATAATAATAAAGTATTGTTTTCTAAATCTATCCTAATTAGAAATTTACAATTTCAATTAATTCTCAAACATAATGTGCATATATATATACATATATATATATAATAAAATACTGCTAGCCACTATCCATCTTTACTTATAATGCTTGTAAATTAAGACAATATCGAGGCAATACGCACTGTATGCATATATGCCAATAAGAGACTGATCAATTGCATTCCTAAACATCAATGGGAAGATTCAAGTATAACAATACCAAGTGGATTAAACTTCACCCTATTGCACAAGCAAATAGCTAACAGAACTCAGTAGCTAAGTAGATAATGAGGTGGCGTTTGAAGCGAACGGTACTGGGTTCTAGTCCCAGGGTGAACATCAACTCAGCCGACTAGTCCTAACTAGGACGAAACGCGCGTCCTGGATTCCACTGTTAGCCACTACCCACCTTTGCTCAAAATATCATGTGTTTATTTATTGAAAAACGGTCATACTGTTGATAACCTTAACGACTTTTAAAATTTCACAATTTCAGTTTACTACGTAACACATAAAAGATGTGAAGGTGAATTGTATCACAGAATTGCATCAGTTGAATTATAATAAACTTGTAAATCATGGTTTTAAAACAGAAATATGTTTTTAGTTTCAAACTGATTTAACCATTTAAATGTATGATTAACACAAAAACATTTTCTACCGTTCATCATCATGGTTTCGAGATTATGGTACATATGATGCAAACGTTGTGTTTATAATTCATTGATTACTGGGTGGTGATCGATGTCGTGTGTGTCAGGTTCTTCTTGGTACAGATCAAATCCTATCGACCAAGTAGCAATATGGCCACGAGTCTAGATGACTCGACATTGAGTACGCTATACTGACATAAGATGGTGGTTGGAGATATTCAATAGTAAACCCTGGATCTAGGTTTCATGCTAATTGGCACTCGTCAGTAAAGTGTACCTGTAATCTTGAGGGAACTGATGCCACTTGACGGATTCTATTCCGTGCCACACAACTTCACAGTTGGAGACGTTTACACTAGGCAATTCGGGCCGCAACTGACCTCCTGTAGGACTGAGATGTATTTACAATTGGTTGATCACTATGTGATCAATTTCATGTATGTCAGATCCTTCTTAGTGTAGATCGAATCATATCGATTTTGTGTATAAAGTTACAAACACACGAATTCGTTGAACTATTAACAACCTTTTCCTTTTTTTCTTCACATTTCGCAAGTATAACTTATGAAGGAAATTATTACACATATAATAATATTGTAAATAACCATATGATGAAATAAAGTATAGTGCAATTTGAGTTCGCTAAATGTGAATGAAATCTAAATGTTTTTGTAGATACTCGTTTTATTGTCTGTGATTCTGTTAAGGTTAATGAATTTAAATTTCATTATTAGAAATATCAACTGTACAATTCCAGTTGACTGGTCTATATTTTAATCACTGATTAAGTGATGATAGATTTATAGCTAAGTACTGTTGGGGAGCTTTTTTATATTTTCCCAGTTCTCCCAAGTTTTCAATAGTTCTCTAGTTAATCCCAATACGTGTTTTATTCAGCATGATATGAATGGATTAAAAAAAATTATTGAAGTAATCACAAACGTATTAATACAGTAAAAGCAAGAGTTGTACTGTACAGGACAGAAAACTCAATACTTTCAAGTCTATTTATCTCAACTACAAATTCAATTTTATCTTGGAGATATAAGCAGTACAAATAAGATGATTCAGTTAGCTGTTGTATATGCTACCTATACCGAAAGATATAAGTAGTATTTAGCATCAGACGGAAGTGAAATACCTGGGAGGAAAAGATTGAAATCAAGAGAATAGGAAGAAAATCGGAGAGCAATCAAAATTACAACAGAATTAGAGTAATAATGGAGTATGTAAAGGACAACTCAAAGGAGATATGCGAAACATGTATTTATTGCATGATTTTCATATTTTGCTAAGACGCTATATCATTGGTTTGCCCTACTAAATATTCGTTCACTCTTCATATACCGAATCTGATATATCCTATCAGGTATACTAAAATATAAACCACAAAAGTATCACATCGTTTTACTCATCAGATTTAGTTTATTCTCTGAATTTCACCAATATTTTTACATGTCTGAGTTGTTTCATTTAAATTGTTTCGATAGTATCATTTAAAAAACGATACTTGTTCATGTTTCACATTTTGTGTTTGAATCTTCATCACCCTAAGTTTCTCAAGTTCTCAATCATTCAATACCCTTCCGATTCACTTAAACTCTGATTGTATTCAAACTAACCTTTAGGCATTACGCTTATCTCATGGATGATGACTGACATTATTGTGATGTCAACAAGTAATATACTCTAATCTAGTTTTACACTTATTTAGTTATCAATAAATGGAAGTTCGTAAAGTGCCTCACTGTTAATAATCTGATGAGTACCTTTTTCGTAATTCCTACACTTGTAAAGATCATCAGAAGTTTTTCATATTTGTTTTAAGTAGAAACAATGAATTATGATTAAAACAGTAAAAGAAATTGTTCAAAGGATCTATCAGGAATGCAATAGGTTTTTAAAGGATTTAAAATGATGAAAAATTAGTGAATATCTTTAAAGGTCTTTCAAATTAACCACTCAATGTCACGTTGAATTTAACGTATAAAGAAATGTATAGCGAAAAGGAAGTCATGTATAACATTATCATCTTTCTATAATCAATTCACGAAATCGACATATTTTCACAATCATTTAGGTAGACCTTTAAAGTGGTTTATCATATTACCGTTACACACTGCCTGCAAGAACATTGTAGATCTATTTTAGTCAACTTATCAATATTTATATCAGATGGGTTTTGTGGATATTATAGTAATTTTGGTGGTTAAGATCATGAGTCATTTGAAGCTAGACAACCATGGAAAACCTGGATAGTAACTCACTGAAAACAATGGTGGATGTGTCGCTCAAGTTCGTGGATTATTTGAAGTTATACATTAACACCGATGGATGCCGGCTCAGTGGTTTAGTGGCTAAGTGTTCGCGTGCAAACCCAGTAGGTCTTGGGTTCGAATCTCGCAGGGGGCGAGGTCGTGCATGCGCACTGCTGAGGAGTCCTACAATAGGACGAAACGGCCGCCCAGTGCTTCCAGGTTTTCCATGGTGGTCTAACTTCAACTGATTCATGATCTTAACCATTGAAACAATCAATATTTCCCATAAATTTATTTAGTTTCTTAAACATTAATAATTCTTTAAGAAAATAGTTTCACAACTCACCTACTTAGTTCTACATGATGCCATCTAGAATCAGTAACTTTATACATTGTTAAAGAATAATGTTGAGAACCACTTCCCATGTTGAATGCAAAATGTAAATAACTTTTAATCAGTTCAAATGCTATAAAATCAACTCCATGTTTGTTTGAATTAAATAATATTAAACCATCTTCTTGTGATGTACGAAATGAAAATTGTACATTGAATATTTCATAAAGATGCATACTTGGATTATGTAAGTAACAATCAGATTCTTTAAATGTTACAGAATAGAAATGTGTATTATCATAATTTCTTGTGATAGTTGTTTGTAATACATTTGTATTGTTATATATATTTGTTAGTGATCTTTGTCGTTGAAACATATCTATGATGGATAAAGTTTTTAACTTGCCTTTAGTTGTAGTAATCTCATTACCTGATATATATATATTATAAAATAAAATACATAATGTAATCATTAATCGTTTCACCTTTTTCCTACACAATAATATACATATGTCTATATATGAAAATGTAGATGAATTAAGCATTTATAAAAAGTGATTTACATACTATTTAATTTATTAAGTATGATTTGAAAGACAGTTTATATTTATGGTTAGTTTCTAGTTTAGTTATTAAATTCTATACAAAGTATAGAAACTTTGAGGAGGAAATAGGGATTTAGTCAACTTATTCTTAAAGTTATTGAAGTACAGTGTATAGAATGATTTCTAGTCATGTCTTTTTATCAGTGTGGGGGTTTGACGGAGGTAGTAGAATTTCAATAATCATAGTTGATCTTGGCTGAACCAACATCAAAACCAGGAAGTATTAAACACTTGTTTCATACTAACACATGGTTCTTCAATAATGCATGAGCCCACTACAACCAACCAAATACACGACCCTCAATCTCATGAGACGACGTTTATGAAATTAACAAATAAACCGAAATCCAATGCTATCAAATATATCATTTAACCGAAATTTAATGCTATACATTTCTAATTCCTTTCATCTCGTCATATTGTGTGACCATCCCACATTGTCTTTCATGGCTAACCACCACACATCTAACATGACTGAACTCAATTTGTCACGACTTCTCACTTGAATGAACTGTAAGAATTTTGTTGAGAATTGAATGACTAGTGATCACATGGTAGTTCTCAGTGTAGGTGGTTTTGTTGAGATTGTAGAACGTGTATAGATTGAAAGAGTAACTGATGTTATTTGGACAATCATTGAGAACTAGACAGCACTAGACTTCTGTTTCATTATTTTTTTGGAGTACTGTCCATTTTTAACTTTCTATTAGACAGAAGTCCGTTAATTTTGTATAATCACAAAGCCGTGGAAAACATTTAATTTAATATTCATTGAAGAGTGGTAACTGAGACCTGCGTCTACAGTCCTGTTATTCACGATGTGTTTAAAGGCTGCGGATAACGCTTGTTTTAATTTTTACCGTTCTAATAGTAATTGGATAATAAAAGCTGATGATTTTGTTGTGATTTGCATTGCATAATAGTTGATACTGATGCGTAATGATCTAAGACATTGGCAAAACAGGCTACTTGAGTGAAAAAAATTGAAAGTCTGGATGAAAGTTTATTGGCCTAACTGCTCTGGTACATATGTACTGCATATGTATGAATGATGTATACATGGGCACTTAGATATGAAACCCATTTCCTAGTCAACTATTTATACTTATCATTAAAGTAATCTATGATTAGCCGATTCTGTCAAATTTCTACTTAACTTACACACTAGTTAATGATTGATTTCGAACCACTGTATTATTTCTCATTATCTATTACCTGCATTTTATAATTGATAAAGACTTCACATAATGTTTAGGATTGGTAACAGGTTCCATATATTTCAGTGAGGCTCTAATCTTTACATTAACTCTATTCGACAGTAGATTTCCCAATATTTTTTGTTTTTCAACAAAGCATATCCAAGAACATAAAATTGTGATGAACTATATATCACTCAAATACAGTAATAAAGTTCAATAACAAAACATTTCTAACTTTATTTTATGGATCTCTGAGTATCGTGGTATTTTACGTGTAAGAGGAAATGCTCGATTAAAGAGCCTAGATATTCGTTTAAAGCCCATTCCCTTCATAAAAATAAACAGTGAAATATCGTAGACTTATGGAATGTAATTCACTGCTTCTTAGTCCCAATATCTTATTATGTTAATCATAACCTTAAAAAATACGGAAATTTTTTTATTTATATCCGAAAAATTCGTTCTCAAGTGTTAGACGTCCTCTCATTTCCCAATTGGCTCAAATACACCAATTTATTTTTTAAGTAATCAAAATTTAACAGATACCATTTATCGTTTGGTGCTTTTGATTAACATATGCTTTATCTTACTAATTCCTATATATTTATAAAACCTTCATCAGCTTGTACCTTTATGGATACTAAGAAATCGATGACAACTCGAATGGTTTGGCAGATTGTGTACGCTTAAGAGGAAGTTCATATCACTTTACTGCTGTAGTGAAAGTAAGATATGTACCGAATAGGTCTCTACTTACACTGATGTATACACCCACTTAAACTGTCATAATGTACACACTTCTAGGTATTCATACTCAATGGCCATGATGATACTCCAAATATTATACTAATCATACTACTTATAGCTATAATAAGTAGCTTAATAGTAGTCGCTAACAAATTTCTAAAACAGAACGATCTTAAGAATGTACTTGGAACACTTCATGTTTTAGCAAGGATTTGAAATTTTTCGCCTTTAATATTCAGAACTTCCACTCTTCAGTTATTCTTGGCCCTACGAGCATTAGAAGAGAACTGCCTGTTTATTGCAACTCTTTTTATATATTTATGATTAAAGGTGAAATCCAGGACGTACATTTCTTCGTTTTTGGGACTCATTAAGTTCATAAACGTACAACTTAGTGTTGATGTCTATATTGGGATTTGAATACAGTACTTTTTGCTTCAGAACCTAATTCTTTATACTCGAAATTAAGAGGTATTACGTTTGAGTTTCACTATGGATTTTAAAAACGCGATGTACGTCCATTCAGCTGACCCCTCTCGAATAAGAAGAAATGTACGTTTTGGATTTCATTGCAATCACATAAAAATATACTAAAAATGTCATTATCTTGTTGAGATGTTTGAACGTTTTTATAACACAGTGTAAATTAAACTATATCATTAGCTAATCTTTAATATAATGGGGAGTAAATTACTCGTACAAGCGAACAAATGTCAAGGAAAAATGTTGGGAAAAATAATAGGTATTTGATACCATGAACGACAACCCCAGTGTACAGAAATAAACTTCTTTCATGGAAAATTAGGCAAAATACTAATCAACTTATCAAATGAAAGCTATTTAAAACTAGTAAAAATGGAAGGAATCATTTAAATTTGTGTACTTACCATTATTCATTGATGTCTTCTTTGAACTAGGGCATACTTTACATTTTTGACTTATATTCTTGAATTTTTGCATATTATTATCAAGTTTTTGAAGAATAATCCAAATGTTTATATTTAAAGGATGAGAAAAGAAACCGAAGAGGGCAAAAAATAGGTAAAATACTATCGCATTATTTTGTATAAAAATTGAATATTTAACCGTGTTGGATGTGCAGACGGTAACCACTTAAGTCAATGAATAGTCGCCTAATATCGTGAACTTATTTCAGTTAGACTTGTACAGTATTGGAACCCAGCTTGGTGATCTTGAGGTAAAATATGTGCGAGCGAGATCAAAAACTGGGTTCTGTACCCTGTAGTGGGTCTATAAATGCACACTGCTAGAATCAGTTAGTTGTCTAGTCCTTCAACGTCTTAAATGGTTGTCTAACTTAAATCGGTTCCTGATTTCGACAGTACGAAAGTTATTTAATTATCAGTACAGGATTGTGGAGATCATTATGTTTTAGATTGAGATCGTGGACCTATTGATGTTAGACCACCAATGAAAACGTAGAAGCACTGGACGGCCGTTTCGTCCTGTTGTGGGACTTTGCAGCAGTAAGTATCCACGATTCCGCTCACAGGGTTCGAACTCCTGTTCTTCATTCTTACGCGTTTTCAGTGGTGGTCTAACATCATTCGTTTCATGATCTCAATCAAAAACTTAATAATCTCCAAAACCCTATACTGATAATTGCCATGTGCTTACTGGTGACTAGCTTCGTGAGTGAATTCTCGGATTTCTAGTGAGAAGCGGTGACCAGTGGAGCTAATCCGTGTCAGGTAGAGACAGGTCAAGCAACTTCGTGGATTGGTTGAGGTTAGACAATAAAATCATTCAGTGCTGACTCAGTGATTTAGAGGTTAAGTGTTCGCGCGCGAGACTGAAGGCCATCGGTTCGAATCCCTTTAGCGGGATTATGGATGCGTACCACCGAGGAGTCTCACGATAGGACGAAGTAGCCGTTTTGTGCTTCCAGGTTTTCAATAGTAGTTTAAAATCAATCAGTTCATGATCTCAATCAAAAAGTTATTTTATTGTCAACAAATCATTTCAGATCTCATCAATATTGATACACTAATAATAGAACATTTGAACTATCATCAATAGGTTGTTTTAAATTGTTTATCGTAATTATTTGAATAAACTTTTTAATTTGAATGTAAAATAACTTACAATGAATCTTACCCAACTAATGATAAAAATATACACTGCAACTATAATTATACTTTTATAAATGAATTTAGGTTGTTATTTCATTTCAATAAAACTTTACTTATAAATAATTCATATGTTTAATTCATAAACTGTTTATGCATTTAATTAGTGATCTACCTAAATTGTTTTCTCTGATATTTTTAGGAGTACTTGTCTATTTCAATACTATCAATTATAATGTTGACTTATTACAGTGAAAATGAAATATATACTAGTAAGCTATTGATTGATCACTTGAAAGTATACTAGTTTTAGAAAATCTCTAGTGTAATGAAAGCAATAACCAACAAGTTAACAGAATATACTAGTGATAATACTTTCATGTATAATCAATCAGATAATGTTAATTTGTCTACTTAATCATCGAAAGATTTTAATAGAATATGATTATAGAATATTGTAATTTAAACAGGATTCTTTTTATAAATTCAACTTAAAAGTACTGACTTCTATAGAAAAATGAACTGTTGATAAACTTTTAGTCCCTGGTTTGATCCCCGTTAAGGGTGGGGATGAAACAACTGTTCACTACTTCTTTGCTTTTAATAATCATCTAAATAACATCAGTTTATAATTCATATCACACAATTCAGAAATCTGCATAAATGCTATGTACTTCTCTATGGGTGAAGTTTGAGTGAAACTCAGGTGATCCTAAAATATCTCTACCGATTAAAAAACATGTCATATAGAGCCACGATACGATATAAAATTCCGTAGCAATTATTTCTGATATACATCCTCGGATGGTTTTACGTTGACCGGGACACAGTGGTCGTAGCTGTGTTCAAGCAGGGGGCTGTGCGAACTCCATTCGTTGGTGTATATTGAGGTGTCTGGTTAAAGATTCTCCATTATAAGTGGTACCAACGTTATTAAATTGTGGCTTCTGAAATTTTGAAAAAATTTATTCTGTAATCTTTCATCACAAATACCGAAGATTTATGGAAATTCTACTAACCTGGTCTTCTTCGACATTCTCTCCTCTATTTGACTTTCCTTTCCTGATGATGGTTCCATCAATTTTTTAATATACTCTCTACACCTCAAAAAGATAGATATGAATTCATCACTCTTATTTCTCTGTATTAATCTAGAACAAGCTGAAATTGTAATTGATCTTGCTGAATATTTTTCTGACATTCATTACTTCGGAACACTACATCAGCTCGATAATCTATACATTGTCTAGTAGTTATTTCAAATTTTTCCACCAAAATTAATGAATCTTCTCTATAATCCCAACTCTGATAGACACTAAAATATAAAAGCTATTTGAAATCAGCTGTATAGTGATCGTATTTGTGCATTTTGCATTCAAATATGTCCCATGACCTTGGAGTTGTTCATTCAATCCTGATTGGCTACTTTCTAAATTACTGTCTCACCATAACATTACATTAGTTGTACATCAAAATAAAAACTATTACACATGTAATTACAATTGACAGTTAATTAAAGTGCACATTTTTTCACTGACAAACAATATTAGGATTAAGTGAATTAATTAAATACAATATGAATGAAATACGTCAAAAGTCTAGGGGTTTTTCTTTTTTTAACTCAAACAATCATTCTTTCATCATTGAATGGCTTACCTTAAATGAATCAAGCATAGTTTCGTTTGAATGAATAGAAAATAAACACTGACAAATTAAGATAATCACTAGAAGAATAAGAGTCATCTCATCGTAATGAATAATAAATAACACGTCATATTCCTATCAAATTCTCACTTAATATTTGATTGAACAACATTAGATTAACGAATTAATTGTACAATTATGTGAGCCACTCTTTTTTTCATTGATGTTATCGTATATCTAGATAACAAATAAAATGAACGAGATATTTATTGTTTAACAGTTCTATACTATGTGCATGAAATAGTTAATTTGTATGCATTACTCACTAAATATTCATTTCAGTGAAGTCGAACTGAGAAACTCTACCTATACTATTAAATATCATGGATTTTACTATTCATAAAACGCATCTAGAAATAGCTTAATATATATACAATAGATAGAATGTGGCTAGAATTAGAGTCCCAAACTCTTGTTTGGTTCTATTTGTGAATCATCAACTAGATGTACCTATATTTTACAGTTGCTGTGTACTGCCTGATTCGAACTCAGTATCTTTCAATTCAAACCACAATGCGTATTACAATTAGTATTTAAGTCAAGATTACTAGTTACTTGTGCAACAGGTATGATTTTTTATTTTGATTGGATAACGTGAAGTAAGCACAACCTTTTGTATCAAGTTTATATTAGGGGACAAATATATAGTTCACTGATGGCTGATATCTCTTAGTAACATCAGTTGATTCATTGATTTTATAAATTATATACACAAATTAGTTTAATGATTGACCACTAATCCAATTTATTTGAAATTTATTGATCGATCAAAATATTTAGAATGATATGTAATTTATTATCAGTGTTATTGTGGGAGTCCTTGAATTAGTGGTTGGTAAATAAATCAGTCTTCTTCTACTGTCTTGTTTCCCTTCTCAGGTCAAAAGCAGTTTTGTTCAATTTCAACAAGTAACAGATAGCAGTTTTTATCTAATCGTAGTAATCAGTTGTACAAGTAGGACTAACCAGGATTTGGTATTAGTCAAAACACTGAAAAACCAGTCTTCTTTCGTACCACTGTGGTTTATTATTACTTACCATACATAACACATGAATATAGTATACAATATAAGGAATCTGTTAAACAAATAAGTCTTTAAACCATATTTAAGTACGAGCATCTATTTACATAGTGAATGTTTTAAAATATATCTATTTGTGTACAACCATTTGCTATTATTCTTTGCTTCACTCAAATTACACGAATTTTACCCTAAGGACATACTAAAGTAATTGAGGATAACGATTAAGATTCATCAAGAAAATTGGCTTGAAAAGTTTCATAAAAATTTACCTGATGTACACTTTTCCATTTGATTTTCTCTAGAAGTATGCGGACATGTCTTATTTAATGGTCTAATTAAGACTGATTTTGTTAGATTTTATTTTTGCTCGTTAATAGGTAATCTGATGAACAATACTTACCTTTTTGTCACTATCAATATACAAACTATGAAGGTTGTATGACGTGAAGAATTTTAGAAAGCGTTATTTAGCATACGATTCAATTCACTGTTTCATCAATCTGGAGAAATTAATTAAATATAATCCACCTAAATTAGGTACACGTAAACTATCTCTGTTACTTATTTAAAAATCTTAGCTAAGAAATGTAAATCTAAAGCTAGTCAATATTGACCTCTACTTAAAATCTGATATTAACTATCTACAAATACAGTAGTACCAAACCTGTGAACAGTTTGATTCAACCCAATAATTTTTTAGCTCACTTATATGCTCTACTTATTCTTCTCTTTAATCTTTTATAAGAATAATGAAACCAACTTCAGTTTTAAATAACATTTGAAGAATTACGTTTTTATTTCATCTAGTTAACCTAGTTTTGTTGTTGTTTCACTCTGATGTAGCTTAGAATTCCCTTTCATGAATGGTTTAATGAAGTAGAAATATATGTACGTTTCTATTGATAACAACTGTAATTGAACAATATTATAATAAAGAGTATTATCTCTTTTGAAATGAATTTATTAGATGAAAATTCTACGATGATCGTAATAACTGGCTGTATTGATAAGTTAATTAACCGTATCTCAACTAATTGAATGTTAGGGGTGAATAACAGTTGTCAACATACTCACTTGTATTGGTCGTTTAAATCTTTCCATTGATGCTTCGGCCTGTAATTAGTTAGTCTCTTTTGACATA